ACATTAAAAAAACACATACAACAAACTTAATAAAAATTATGACAAACTTATAAATGTAATATGAAATGTTAAACTTATAAATGTATGATTACATGCCCGTTCATCGTCGGACTCCATTATGATAAAAATTAGGATTATCTTCATCATCATCATCATCATCAACAACAACAAGAAAATCTTGTGGGTCCATGGGGGGGGGGGTCTTCGGGCTGCTGCACGGGGGCGTCAGGTCAGGTTCCTCCCCGGGTTCCTCCTCGGCTACCTCCTCCACTGCCTCCTCGGGGTCCTCCTCGGGGTCCATGGCTTGCTGTACCACTGCCTCCTCCGGATGACCTCAAAAAATCAAAGGACATAGACCCGAAATTCGGACCCATCATAGGCGTGCCACCGTATCCGGAGTTAGAGAAAAACCCCATACCGCCCATGTGCGGAACTTGAGGAGTTTGCTCAGGGTGCAATATGTACGGGGGAGGAAAAGGCTGGTGCGGAGGCTGGAATCCGGCACGCATGAACCGTTCCATCTCCTCTAGCCGGGCTTTTGTTTCTTCCTCTTTTTTCCGCTGCTCCTCCCTCGCCGTTCGTGCTCCTCTAGTTCACGCTGCATTTGGGCAATACGAGGATCTTCTCCCCGCCTTGATCGAGAAGAGGAAGCGCCGGTGCTTCGATCATACAAAATCCGTTGTCCCTCGGCCCCCAGGCACGGAACCCGACCCTTGTAAACCCCGGCCGCCTCAATGGCCGCCTCATCATCCGCATCGGAATCGAGCTCGTCCTCCTGGGTCAAGCCTCGCTCCGCACGCTGCCTATCAACAGTTTCGTTGTACTTCGTCTGCATTTAAAAAAATATTTTTAAATGCTACATACTTAGATTTGAAATGTTACTAAATAACAAAATATGATGATACATACTTCGAAGTCAGCGAGGCGGGGTGGCAGATCGGCTTCCGACTCCTCGCCGTGCTTCGTCCAGCAATGCTTGACGAGCTTGAGAATTCCAACCCTCTTCTTCTCAGGACCAGCCTACATGGTGTGAAAAAGGCTTAAGTAAATTTTTTATAATGAAGGGTTGTAATGGTGTAAGGTTTTTTGAATAGCACTTACAAGAGTTTCTCTATGGGCACTCTGAGATTTGCGACCCCCGTGCCACTGCGTCTCCAAGGCCTTCTCGAACATCCGATTTTTCTTACCGGCTTCACTTCTGGCCAAGAATTTCGGATCCGAAGACCAGTGGCGACAAAGGTTGGCCCACACTTCATCCGAAACCCATTTAGGCTGTCTCGCACGGTTTCGGGCACGCCTAAAAGTGGGCCGAAGCCAGGTCGAAATCCTATTATTATAGGCTCTAAGAATAGCAGCACCGTTTGCGTGAGTCCAACGAAAGCGGCCCTTTATTTAAAAAAAATGGATTAATTAATCATTTGTTATATATTATGCTACTACAATTACCCAGGGAACATTCATTTATTTTTACCTTGAATAGGTTCCACCATAGTTCGCGGACCCTGGGGTCAACATCCGTGTAGGTGGCCCAATTGCCAAGAAAGTGTCCTCCTATTATGTTTTTGATGCATTCGAACACTTCTTTGTCACTTCAAAAAATTAATAGTATTTATGTATATAAGATTTGGTTAGATTATTTGACATTATATAAAATTATTTGACATAAGGTTTGTTCATAACTACTTACTGAGCAACTTGGTGAGGGGTCACCCAAACAGCTCTTTCATTGTTGTGCTCGGCTTCGGTCATGGGCGCATAGTTAGGGCGGGGAGCCGATGTCCATTGTTCGTCGGTCATCTAAAATACATTAATTTATTTTGTTTTTTGTTAGTGTGATTATAATAGAAGATCAAATTTTTATATAAGTATTATCAATTGAAAATGTGTATACCATATTAAACTGTGTATAAGTTTAATATGAGGGTCCATATTTTTTCACCATAAGGTCATGTTATAACTTGGAAATAAATTGCTCTTAGAGGTAACATGTTAAACTTTTTGCAAAATTTACATGAGAGGACATCATTTTTTATGTTTTAGATATATGAGTTTTATCCACTTTTTATAAACAGTTTTAAAAAATTATAAAAACAGTATATTTTTTTTCAAAAACAGTTTATAAAAAAAGGTTTTTATATAAAAACCTTTTTATAAAAAATCAGTTTGTAAAGACACTTTTTTACAAAAAATATTTTATAAAAAACCTGTTTACTTATTTAAAACAGTTTATTAATACATTAATAGATTATAAAAACAGTATACTTTTTTATAAAAAACAGTATACTTTTTAAATAAAAAACAGTTTTTATAAAAACTGTTTTCTAGAAAAACAGTATACTTTGTGTTTATAAATTATATAAACAGTTTTATACAAAAAACGGTTTTTATAATGTCTAAATAACAGTTTTATACTTTTTTAAATAAATTACAAAAACAGTTTATATAAAACAGTTTTTATAAAAACAGTTTTTATAAAAACCGTTTTTTATAAAAACAGTTTTTATATAAAACAGTTTATATAAAACAGTTTTCTTTAAAATTCTGTTTTTAACAAATCTGTTAATTAATCAGTTTTTACAAAAAAAAACTGTTTTTACAAAAATCTGTTTAATAATTAGTTTTTACAAAATTCAGTTTATTATAAAAATCAGTTTTTAGAAAAACAGTTAAACTATTTACAAAAACAGTCTAATAGTCTACTTGTTTTACAAAAATCAGTTTTATAGTTTTTTAAAAAAATCACTTTACCATTTTTGCTATAAAAACCTTTTTATAAAAATCAGTTTTTATACTTTCTATAAAACAGTAATTTCGAAAAATATGGTTTTATCCAGTTTTTAAAAAACAGTTTTTTTTAAACTGCTTATATCCAGTTTTAAAAAAAAAACTGTTTTATACTTTTTTAAATAATTATAAAAACAGTGTTTTATCCAATTTTTACTTTTTATACTTATAAAAACTGTTTATAAAAAAACAGTATACTTTTTTATGTTTAACATAAAAATTAGGGAATATTTTTTAAATAATTGGGAAAACAATATAATTTTTATGTTTATTTTAAAATTTGTAAAATTATAATTAAACATGTTAAGTTTGTGAAAGCTTAACATGAGGGGGCGTTTTTTTTAAATATTTTGGGTTAAAGCATAAAATGCATAAACATTGTATAACTATAGAGAGGCATGCATATCAAACACTAAACATATATATTAAACATCAAACTAATTGTATAAACATGCATTAGTTCGAAAATATATTGAGCATGGTTTAAACAAAAAAAGAATATTAAATATGAACAAGCAAATAAAGACAGTTTATTTAAAAATAGTTTTGAAAATTAAATTTGAAAAACACTTCGGAAATTAAATTTGAAAAACAGTTCGGAAATTAAATTTGAAAAACAGTTCGGAAATTAAATTTGAAAAACAGTTCCGAAATTAAATTTGAAAAACAGTTCGGAAATTAAATTTTTTAAAGTTACCATTTTGAAAAACAGTTTATTAAGTAGTTTAATCATGCATATGAACATATATTAAACATATAATAATCTAAATCATTTAAACATAATTATCATGCATACAAAACATATAAATCATGCATATTAAACATATAAAACGAAATTATCATGCAAAACTACAAATCATGCATATAATAAATCATGCATACAACTTTTCAACATTACAAAATGATATGAAACTAAAAATCATGTATCTTATCATGCATTTGAGTATAGTATCATGCATTTTTGGAATTTTAATCAAATATTAGAAAATAAGATGAAAAGAACACATGACCTTGACTGAGAAAAGAAGGGGCGGCGACGGAAGGCGGCGGACGGCGGCGGACGGCGGCGGACGACGGGTTTTGGACGACGGCGGAAAGCTACCACGCGGCGGTGGACTTTTGCGGTGGCGCTGGTCTCAGGCGGTGGCGGCGGTGGTGGTGGTGTTGGAACAGAAGGAGGAAGATTTGGAAGAGGGGGAGTATAGGCAGCCGCGGTATAGAGAGAGGAGAGGAGGATCTGGAAAAAAAACCTAAGTGTGCCTTATATATAAATCGTAGTCACGGTCATAGTCACGGTCAGGTCCGTAACTAAAGCATTCGTAAATGCCGAAGTCATGCCTGACGGTCAGAGCCGCCGCTGACCAGAATAGTCACGGTCTGGTCCGTGACTATGACGCTGACCAGAATAGTCACGGTCATAGTCACGGACCAGACCGTGACTATTCTGGTCAGCGGCGGCTCTGACCGTCAGGCCTGACTTCGGCATTTACGAATGCTTTAGTCACGGACCTGACCGTGACTATGACCGTGACTTTTTAATTTATAAATAGATGTCCTGTGACCCAAGCATTTTGTGCAAAAAAAAAATACTAATACAGAACCAATTGACTGAGATATGATGCGTAGAAGAATGCGCCGTCTTAAACTATGTACACAGCTTATGGAATTTATTTATAAAGTGTTGAAGCATGGCAGAAAATCATGATAAATCAATAATATCAGTTAGTTGATTGTGATAAAAAAAAATGTGTGTTTTGTACTTATCTTTTAAATTTAATAAATAAATTCGTGTAAGTTGTTTATTAAAATGTCAAATTATTATAATATTCAAATTATGAAAAGTAAATTAGTTTTATTTATGAATTTCTGTTTTTTTTTTAATTTTGTATTTTCGAAGTATTTGAATTATTTTTCAATTTTCGAATTTATAATATGGAATATTGTGGAAACAGTTAAATTTGTAGTGTGGACTATGGAGTATTAAATAAACTGCTTTCAATTTATTTGGTATAGAACAGATTAAGGAGTAATTATTTCACAAACAATAATGATGAAGGAAAAAATCAAATATGCTTGGAGTAATTATTTTACAAAATTGAAATTACAACAGCACAATTAGTCGCTCTCAGAATCTTCATTTTCTACATATACAATATCTTCTTCTGTATCTAAACTGTCTATCCATTCACCTTCTTGCTGATATTGAGCATTTTGTTGTGCTTCATACATTTCAACAATTTCGCGCTCAGATGGAATGGTTAGGTCCGGAAGGTGTGTTTCTGGCATGACTTCAACACGTCCGCCAATTGGATCACTTAATTGGATGTTATAGTTGACCGTCTCAACAATAGGCGGAGGTTGGAAAAATTGTTGCTGAAAAGCATCTAGATCAACGTCCTTGTGTTGAGTTTGTGATATAATTTTGTTCGGACGGACAGTACATGCACACACACAAGGATTCCGTGTCCGCCTTGTCGAAGGATATTCTGCATAATAAATCTGCGCTGCTTGTTGGGCGAGTATGAAAGGCTCGTTTTTCTCATACACACGAGAGTGGTTGACATCAATCATATTATACTTCGAATGTTTTCTCACACCACGTGTGGGATCGACCCATTTGCAGCGGAATAGAACGCATGTCAATTTTTGCGCACCACAAGGCATTTCAAGTTCCAGAATCTCATGCAGCACACCAAAAAAATTGGTTTCCGAGTTATCATAACCGATGGTCGGGACACATAACCCGCTGTTCGTTGTTGGTCGACCCTGTCCGTAATCGGCTGTGTGATATGTGTAACCGTTTATCACATATGACCGCCACACTTTGGCACTGGCACTTGGGGCCCACGAAAATGCTACTAACAGAGGGTCGACAATCCCACGACTATTGATCTGTAAAATGTAACATGATAATAATTAATAATTATTACAAATTATTACGTAATAATATATATAATTAATGTGTGTATATATATACCTGATACTTGTACCAATTTACAAAATCAGAGTCCACCATTGCATCAATTTCATTCTCAGGAAAGGCTGATAAAGAAGCTCTGAATTCACTGTGAAGTCAAAAATAAAAATATTATAAATTAACTACAAATTTAATTTATAAGTATTACAATTGTAACTACAAATTTAACTTACTGATAAAACGGTAAGATTTCAGGACAATTCATGAGGATATAAGTATGCGCAATTTGTAATTCCCCACCCAGAATGTATCGCCGTGTCGCAGCACCTTTACCTCTGCCTGGGTAATTGAAGATGGAAACTACATTTTCATATAAATCCTCGCCAATGTCATCGTTCCGAGCAGGTCTCTTCCTTCTGGTGATGACGTCACGCTCGAAATAAAAAGACGAGAACGTTGAGATTTCTTGTTGAAGATACGCTTGACAAATTGAAGCCTGAACGTGTGCCTTGTTGGTCACTTTCTTTTTCAACTCTCCTAGAAATCTGCAATGTAAAATAAAAGTGGTACACAGATTACAGTCGTTATGAAATAAATATTCATTTTTTAAATGAAATTGTGACTAACCTTTCAAATCTGTACATCCATCGATAGAAGACGGGCCCAGCAGTCAAAGCCTCATACGGAAGATGTATTATAAGATGTTCCATTGCATCGAAAAACGATGTAGGCATTATCTTTTCCAGATTGCACATCAGAATGGGAACATACTCTTCTAGTCTCCAGAGGGATGCCGCATCCAAAACGCTGGAACATATCGACTGAAACAACAAACTGATTTCAGTAATGCAGGACCATACGTGTTCAGGGAGCATCTCTTTCAGTGCAATTGGTAGAAGTCTTTGCATGATTACATGAGCATCGTGAGTTTTCATGCTTGCTGTCGTGGTAAGTTTGTTCATGTCCACGCATCTAGACAAGTTGGAGCAGTAGCCATCTGGAAACTTCAGAGACACAAGCCATTGTAATATTGATGCCTTTAGTTTTGCCTTTGAAATCCATCACCGTGTTAAATATATTGTCAAACACGTTCTTCTCAGTGTGCATGACATCAAGGGAGAAACACTTGATAAGAAAGGAGGTTTAAACAAATCACAATTGTGGCCCCGCGCTTTTGCTGGTTTTCCGGATCACTTTTGGTGTCTGAATGAGTCACAAACGTTCTTTGCTAGTACATCACCCGTCAAAAGGAGAGAATTGCCATTTTAAAATGAGTTCAAGGGTTTGATTGAGTGAAATTTGAGTTGGGGGGTCTAATTGATTTTTTTTAAAAGTAGAGGGGCTTTTTTGATAGTTTTCCCTTTCTAATATGACTTAATCTCAAATATCACTTTAATATGCATTACTCTAAGTAAATCGTGAATGATGCCTTTAGTCCTTACCCAAAGTTTTCTCTAATGAAATCACTTAGTTTAAGTTGTTCATAGTAGCTGTATGTAGAGCAATTTCTTGTGTGTATTGTCGTATTGGGTTATAGACAACGTAGGGAACCTAGAGAATTGTTCAAGCGATTCGGATTTATATTGATTTGAGTGTGGGTTCTTTGGTTGCCAGAACTATACTCAAAATATAAAAACTAATAATCATACCAACCATAACCAAGTATCCAAATCGCTTGTTATGGGATTGTTCATCAAAGTGCCTAATATATTATCAGCAAACCAACCTTATCAGTTGGCCACTTAAACACAAGACTCGATAGACAATATAAAACTCAAACCATTCTCAATTCCAACTGCTGACAATAGCATGTGCCTCAGATCTTGCTTCAGGATTGTCCCGCGCTAAAGAACAATTTTGGCAGCAAGATCCTAGAGAAAATGGTTAACAATTTCACACTTAGCAACGTTATGTCATGCTTTACAAAAAGGGAAATATTTATATTTGGACAACTCGTTAATTTGAAGTATCATAAAAAATGCAGAGTAATAGTAATAACAACAAAGTAGTAGTAGTAGTATAGAGAACAACAAATGACGATGATGTTGATGATATAATGATAATAAAAGAAATAAGAAATCATAAAAAGTTATTACGACCATCCCATGGAACAACCACCCAAGAATTACTTGTTATAGGAAGTGATGTTTTATTTGCAGTCTATGTAAGGGTACTTAGTTGTAAGAAGAAATACATTATTATCTAATGTCAAAATACTTTCTAGTCTAACTCTTAGCAGATTCGAAAGATTTATTTGCCATAGTATAACTCTTAGGAGCAAGACTCTATAATGGCATGATTATCTAATGTCAAAATGTACAGAATGTTTTACAATTGCTAGGAGAAGGTTGTCAACTAAAAGAGGAGGAAGGTCACTGCCCTAACCCTGTGATAGACAAGGATTAGGAATCCAAATACTCCAATTAGGTAAGTGTTTTGAAATATCTTAAATAACCAAGCCTTCGGCTTTCAATTAAAAGCTTCTTTTACACTATGTTTGTAGATCATTTAAGCAAACATAGTATCCTTAGATGCATTACCATTCTCCAAACTATTGCTAACTTTGATGCTTTCTTATAAATAATCTTTCTGATTTTCTTGACCAATAGAGTATCATCTCAAAACCAATCAAATCATTGTTAATCTTGTTAACAACAAGGGAATCACTTTTATATACATCTTATCTTGATTAAAGTTTTGACATAACTAAACTCCCATAAGAATAGCCTTTAATTCAGCATTTTGACATTGTTGGATATATTTTCGTATTAGTAGCAGCAAAAAGCTCCCTTCATTATTTTATAGACCACCAACTCTAGCTAGCGCGCCCTGCCGTAAAACCAGATTCTACATACATTCAGTTTAAAACACAACTCAGGTGCCTTTCTCCGATAGTAAATCTCACAATAGTATTTACTGCAGCTTCTATGATTAATCTGGTCAAGAAAAAACAAATGGTTAGTGTAATCAATAATTGCATGGATATGATTATAGTATTATACAAAGTATATGCCATTCCTAGTAAAACTTTTGCCTTCTTCTTTAACATTATTTCTGAGATACAAGATGAACCAATGTCCTAACAGAAGAAAATATTGTCAATGTATTGTGCTTTTTAGATCTTTGAAGCTACCCATTTATATAAACATGTTCGACAATTCCAATCATGATTGGAGTTGTCAAAATTAACACAAAGCATGATTAAATATTTTCTCTTGCTAACAGCAGTAACATTTTGAAGCGATTAGAAATCTGAATAGCTTCTAAAGGAGGTCATTCATGAATATAACATTAAGCAATTGATATGAACACATTCATGAAATTATCCATACTCAATGAGAAAGCAACAAGACATCTTATTAGCTTCTAAAGGAGGTCATTATTAACAAAAATATTAAGCAATTTGGCTGAATAGCACCTGCAAGGATGAAAAAGGCAGTGCCTTAAAATCTAAATCAATCCCAAGGAAATGGATTTATAAGGCCCCACGTTTTGTTGTAGAGCTTGCTTTTACCAGTCTATTTGCATTTAGTGTGTGGGGATTAAAAGAAGGGTATTGAATGCCTAGGTTGTTGGTATTTGGCAACAAACTATCTTGGTGTGGGATGGGGTAGAGTAGCAATTTAGATTATACGTAGTATAGATTATTTTGGGTCTGCTGAGATTTTTCTTAGCTTACATTATTTTACTCATTTGAAAATAAACCGCTAATTAATTCCTTTTATGTTTTTTGGAGACCTTTTATTTATGATATAAGGTACCGCGCCTTGGCCGATAGGCCGGCTGCGATGCGAGGACGACGACTATGATAAGCCGGTCCAATGTATGATGACGAGGCAATGATAGGCCAATCGTCATGTAGAGGCGACGGTTGCTATCCCGGAAGGGAATAACAAGCCCAATTGCTAGATCAAGACACTCGGCGCTGAGGGAGCCGGTCTTGAGATAAAGCATTACGTCGTGGCCGAAGGGCCCGATCGTGATGTGAGGACGAAGATGCTGAGGAGCATGTCCGAGATATGATGACGAGGCAATGATAAGGCCGGTCGTCATGTAGAGGCAACGGTCACCATCCAGGAAGGGACGGCGAGCCCGATTGCCAACTCAAGACACTTGGCGATGAGAAGCCGGTCTTGAGAAGGAATAATCACACCAAGGCTGGGAGGCCGGTCGTGATGTGCGGATGGCGATGATGATGAGCCGATCCGAATAATGATGACGAGGAGGAGATGAGCCGATCGTCATGTAGAGGCAACGGTCACCATCCAGGAAGGGACGGCGAGCCCGATTGCCAACTCAAGACACTTGGCGATGAGAAGCCGGTCTTGGGAAGAAATAATCATGCCAAGGCTGGGAGCCCGGTCGTGACGAACGGATGGCGATGATGATGAGCCGATCCAAATAATGATGACGAGGCAGAGATGAGCTGATCGTCATATGGAAGCGACAATCACCATCCAGGAGGGGAATGGCGAGCCCGGTCGCTAGCTCAAGACACTTGGCGCTAAGGAGGCCGGTCTTGAGATATAGCATCACGTCGTGGCCGAGGGGGCCGATCGTGAAGAACAGATGGCGATGATGATGAGCCGATCCGAATAATGATGACGAGGCGATGATGAGCCGATCGTCATATAAAGGCGACGGTTGCTACGCCGGAAGGGAATAGCAAGCCCAGTCGCTAGCTCAAGACACTTGGCGCTAAGGAGGCCGGTCTTGAGATAAGGCATCACGCCGAGGCCGGGGGCCTGGTCGTGATGAGCGGACGGCGATGATGATGAGTCGATCCGGATGATGACGAGGCGATGATGAGGTCGATCGTCACATAGAGGCGACGGTTGCTATCCTGGAAGGGAATAGCAAGCCCGGACGCTAGCTCCAGACACTCGGCGATGAGAAGCCGGTCTTGAGATAAAGCATCACGTCGAGGCGGGGGGCCTGGTGGTGATGAGCAGATGGCGATGATGATGAGCCGATCTGGATAATGATGACGAGGCGATGATGAAGCTGATCGTCATATAGAAGCGACAGTCGCCATCCAGGAGGGGAATGGCGAGCCCGGTCGCTAGCTCAAGACACTTGGCGCTAAGGAGGCCGGTCTTGAGATATAACATCACGTCGTGGCCGAGGGGCCGATCGTGAAGAACGGATGGCGATGATGATGAGCCGATCCGAATAATGATGACGAGGCGATGATGAGCCGATCGTCATATAAAGGCGACGGTTGCTACGTCGGAAGGGAATAGCAAGCCCAGTCGCTAGCTCAAGACACTTGGCGCTAAGGAGGCCGGTCTTGAGATAAGGCATCACGCCGAGGCCGGGGGCCTGGTCGTGATGAGCGGACGGCGATGATGATGAGTCGATCCGGATGATGACGAGGCGATGATGAGGCCGATCGTCACATAGAGGCGACGGTTGCTATCCTGGAAGGGAATAGCAAGCCCGGTCGCTAGCTCCAGACACTCGGCGATGAGAAGCCGGTCTTGAGATAAAGCATCACGTCGAGGCGGGGGGCCCGGTGGTGATGAGCAGATGGCGATGATGATGAGCCGATCTGGATAATGATGACGAGGCGATGATGAAGCTGATCGTCATATAGAAGCGACAGTCGCCATCCAGGAGGGGAATGGCGAGCCCGGTCGCTAGCTCAAGACACTTGGCGCTAAGGAGGCCGGTCTTGAGATATAACATCACGTCGTGGCCGAGGGGCCGATCGTGAAGAACGGATGGCGATGATGATGAGCCGATCCGAATAATGATGACGAGGCGATGATGAGCCGATCGTCATATAAAGGCGACGGTTGCTACGCCGGAAGGGAATAGCAAGCCCAGTCGCTAGCTCAAGACACTTGGCGCTAAGGAGGCCGGTCTTGAGATAAGGCATCACGCCGAGGCCGAGGGCCTGGTCGTGATGAGCGGACGGCGATGATGATGAGCCGATCCGGATGATGACGAGGCAATGATGAGGCCGATCGTCACATAGAGGCGACGGTTGCTATCCCGGAAGGGAACAGCAAGCCCGGTCGCTAGCTCAAGACACTCGGCGATGAGAAACCGGTCTTGAGATAAAGCATCACGCCGAGGCGGGGGCCCCGGTGGTGATGAGCAGATGGCGATGATGATGAGCCGATCTGGATAATGATGACGAGGCGATGA